TGGCGGCGAGCTGCTTGCGGGGCGCCTTGCCTGAGGTGCAAAATCGTCGGCCTCCAGGGGGGTCAAGTCGTCATAAACGATTACTTACCACCGGTAGACTTGCGAGCGGTTTGCTTCGTGCGGGCCATTGCAGAGGTGTTAAGTGATAAGGTTGGGTATTCGGTAGCCCGGCGGGATAGTGTGGGTGGATACGAAGGCGTACCAAGCCATCTCGACCCCGGTGGCTTATATACGGTCCAAGGTGCTCGACGCGCACGTGACAAACGCGATCTTCTTCAATCAACGAAACCTTAACGCGAGCACAGCCACGCACGCTTATATAGGCGGCGGTGTCTCTCGTGCTGGTGAGATCCATCTATCGTCCGCTCCCCGCGCTTCGCCACCGCACCTCACCACCACCACCACCACCACCACCACCCACACATCACAACTTCTTCGCAATGTCTGGTCGCGGAAAGGGCGGAAAGGGACTCGGAAAGGGCGGCGCCAAGCGTCACCGTAAGATTCTTCGCGACAACATCCAGGGTAAGTCGCTCCAGGCACCGGCCTAATCGGGGCGCGATGGGGTGCTGACCCGACGACGACGCAGGTATCACCAAACCCGCCATCCGTCGCCTGGCTCGTAGAGGGGGTGTGAAGCGTATCTCGGGTTTGATCTACGAGGAGACCCGAGGCGTGCTCAAGATCTTCCTTGAAAACGTGAGTCGCGCATTGTGGAGCGTCGCCGAGTTCCCTTTGGCTGACTTGGCTCGCAGGTCATCCGTGACTCTGTCACCTACACTGAACACGCGAAGCGGAAAACCGTCACCGCGCTTGACGTTGTTTACGCTCTCAAGCGTTCCGGTCGTACCTTGTACGGCTTCGGCGCATGATCGCTTGCTTGCCTTGTATCCTTATCGTTTTGTATTGCTATTGTACTTATATAATGCATCGATGGGTATCGACGTTCATTGACCGGTTTCGGCGATCGGACAACACTGCCACTGTCGGCACCGCGTCCACGCCGTCGGCGCTTGGGAGCCGCTACGTAAGGATGACAGAATCGCTGTCACATTCGCTTTGGTGGTCGCGTGATTCAACGACTCGTAAAAGATCGACGGTCTCACTTCATCGCTGAGGTCCGTTAATAGTCACTTATATATACGCTGCGCGTCATGCACGGCCATCGAACACCTTAAGTCCGTTAATTTGTTCGGACCTTTCGGAAGATGGCTCATCGGCGCTTTCGGACATCAACATCGTTACACGATGGCAGCATAGACGGACCCTGCACATCGTAGCGTGTCCATGGCTCACCGACGTGTATCCGTATCATATGAATACATACCTTTACAGTAATTACGGCAGTGAGTAGGATTCGCTCGGGTTCCAAGGGAGGTGTGGCTGGAACAGACCCATAATGTATGGGACCCGCGTTTCACGCGTTCATCGCGACCTGACAGCTATACCCTCGTTGGAGGGCTATTATGGCGTGGCAATGAAAGGACTCAGTGTCAAGTATTTAGCCGTCATTCATGATCAACGTGCACAACTGCAAGACACTATATATGTAAGAGTACTGCTTCTTGGATGCAAATGGCAATACATACAGCTTCCAACAGTGATCTGTTCATTGAGAGACGGTGCATTATCGATGTCGGTCGTTGATTTGAGGGAATGCAGACCTCCGGTGCGCTGACATGAAACCTGTCACGATCATGCAAATAGACCCAATGACATATGTTGTCGGGCAGGTGGCAGGGAGACGGAGTCCCTGAGACTGCTGGCGTTCCATGCCGCCCAGGGCTGGAATCGAAGACTCGAGTAGCCTGTCTAGAGAAAGGTCAGACTGTTAATTATATGATACTTCGGCTACAAATAGCCTACACGAGGATGCGGAGATTAGGGTGATCGCCGGCCTTTACGAATGAATGCGATCGATGCAGCAAGGGCGCGGGTACGCGTGCCGAGTGGGTGGACTGCATGTGTTATGCACGCCGGGATGCAGTACTTCCACGAGTTGTGATCAGTCCATGGACACGGTCCCCCCGTACGCAGGTATCGATGATGCCCGAGATGTTGGGTGACGTGAAACGATGCTCCAGATGCCGATTGTGCTAGGGCCCCTCGATCTTGTAACGCTTCATGTCACTAAGCATGAAGCTGGGTCGCGGAATAAAGTCAACCCTCGACCGCGCGGCGAGCGAAAGGACTGATATATATTCACGGATATAGCTGTCTCCTGAAGCTTCACAGAGCATGCTCACCTATGATTCAAAATCCTGTCGAGGGAGCGAGCGGGAAACCTTTGTCTGAAGGGTTCTATTGCTTCAGAATGCATCAGCGTTACTCATTCTGAGCCTGGCAAGAAAACAGGGTAAGGAAGTGCGACTCGCTAACCGCGCCGTGGTGAAGTATACTGAGCTCTCGGCCTTGGAATCTCAAGGAAGGTCCATTTATAAGGCAGATCATTCGTAGATTTTATGCTTGTGGGTCCGATTTTGTATGGTTCAGCGACTGCAGCAAGAACTGCGAGCAACGTTTGTAAATGCAACCAAACCTTACGCTTGCTTCCACGAAGCAATGCCGCCGGTTTGAGTGCAACGTGGGCGTGTGCGAACTTCCGGGATTCGCCCAGCTCCCTGACGAAAGTACTCCTACTAACTCGCCTCCGTCAGCAGATTATGCATGCGGGCCACCAATCGTAATAACAACGACTGTACAAGGCAACAAAATGCGACATGCGGCTTATGTCCGGTAACCTCGTCGAGATCGTCAGCGTCGTCCTGATCTGTCTTGCTGCGCTTGGAAGTACTCACAAGCTGCGACATCGGAGTGGGTATATGTTGTCGCTATCACTCTGTCGCCCATGGCGGCTGTACTGATAAGAAACCACGGACAATTCATTGGTGAACGACGGGTCATATATAAACCAGCGACTGAAAACGCCCTCGGGCTAACATGGATGAAGTCCAATAGCAAGTGTCAAAGCAGAGACAGAGGTTCCTTCACCAAGACGATACAACACAGGAGACATGAAGCCTGATCAATGGCCGTTTGGCAAAGAAGCGCGACATGCATCGCACGAATCCGCACTCTCGTCCAGAACTAGGCTCTGAGACTCGCCCATACTGTACCTCGGTTGGCGGGGTGAACATACGAGAGAAATCACATCACGCACTTCTGATGGCAGGTCACAACGCAATCATGGTCGTCTTCTAGGTGCGAGCGACTATGGCGGCAATGTCTGTTGTTGCAATCTACCTGTGGGAGTGGTTCAGCTCGAGAGTATTCCACCTAGTAGTACGTTGACGAGCCTTTTGCGAACGTGTCGGTCGAATATGACCGCACCGGTACACGCAATGGGCTGTTAAGTCGAAACACATCCTGACAACAAATTCATGCTCCGTCATGGATGCAGCATGAGTGTACGAACTGGTGAGGCTGAGACGTTGTGCGATCGCATTTCTGGGTCGCTCGAAGTCCCTCTTATACTGCCTTGCAAGCTCGGCACGAGGCCGGGGGTCATATTACAGGCATATCTGTAGGACCCTCCAGGAGGAAGGGCACGGAGACCATACAGTTCCCCTCTGCCAGTGCTGCAGAGCGGGGAGAAATTGGAGGTGCGGCGCATACAGTTGTAGGGCCCATATCATATGGGCTCTACAAATGGCGCAAATGGGGTGCCGAACCGTGGCCGAGATGCACTAGCACAAACTTCATTGAAGGCAAATTCATAAGCCCATCACGAATCGAGTAGCAGAGCTCGTAGTGGATCCGTCCGTAGCGGAAGTGCGGCAAAGCAGACTTCTTGCATGGCTCTGTAAGTGTGCATGCGAGGGGCAGGAGTTGATGTATGGTCTGGAGGGATAGACAGGAAGTCGAAGGAGATCGGGAGATGCAGAAGCAGATATTTGTTCCATGGTTCCATGAGACGGCGGTCCAGAGCACATCCAAAGTGCGGGCAGGAGAAACATGTACGCATACTGCATATAGTTGCACCGAGAAAGGTCCGCATAACCATTTTCAGTTCCACGCTTTTCGCTGCATATCACGTGAACGAACACGGCGCACCGCCATCGTGGTACCCCAGTCCAGACTCGCAGTGAGACTCCTACCGACGCTGGCTCTGAGTCGCGATCATCCATACCGCAGAATCTACCATGGCATCAGACTCCCTATGCCTAGTCCCTCCACTGGTGGGCGTTGCGGCCAGTGACGGGTTGGCGCACTCTGGGAGAGCGCTCACCATGGCGCTTTCGCCGCGCGACGACTCAGTGGCAGTCTATTCGCGTCCTATAGTGAGTTGTTCATATCACTCGGCAGTTGATGCCTAAATACCGCAGATTCAAGCACCAGGAAACCCCGCTGGCCAGGTAGAAGCTGGCGAGAACCATGTATACTTCGCGAGCATGCAACTTGCGCCGTCGACCGAGCGGCGAAATGTGCGTATCATCGCACGCAGATGATTGTCGAAGAATATCGCCCATTTACTCGAGTAGTTTGTAACAGATACATGGATTGCATACACCGCACTACGTGAGGTTTCGGAAACGGAAGGCGCGCTCCCGTGAGTACCGTATTCCCTAGAGTTGCTGGATTGCCGTTGGAAATGCTAACGCGACTCTCCAGACACGTGGCCAAGGGTTATGCACAAGCAGTTCGCAAGATGGTTAGAGACTATGTCAATCTCACGAGGGTAAACTGGCAGGAGACATCGGTGCGCTCTCTTTCAGGTGCTTAAGTCACGTCGTTGACAAGTCTCGGACAGAAAGCTGACGTGAAGCCACAATTTAGTAGCGAACACTACCGCTGTCTTCACACGTCTTTTTCCCTCTTCGAAGTCCTCTATCTACCCGATTATGATTTCACTGAAGTGGAAGAAGCTCAGTGCGGAGAAGAGATCATGGAATGGCTTAACACGCATTTCATCGAACCCTCGACAGAAGAAGGGGTTCAGCTTAGTAGCTTAGAGAAACCTTGGGAGGATGAGAATTTTTGGCCGTACATCACAAGGTTTGGGCGGGCGATTTACACAGAAAGGAGCCTTGCTTACCGTTTCTCAGGACAACTCTTCGCGGCCTCTCCGAGGCATCGGTGTTCTTCTTGAATATCCTTACAGAATCTCACCCTTCTGCGACTCTGCGGGAGTTCTCTGCGAGACTTACTGCTCATATCAGATCACAACCCCGCCATCACAACCACACTCTTGAAAAGGACATGGTGCGGGCCTGGAGACGTTGGGTGGATGAGGTCAAGACGATGCGCATCCAGCTAGATCATGTTCCCGAAGATGATCGGTACGATGGGTACGAGAACTGGTGGGATCGGCTGAGTCAGATTGTTGGTATTCTGGAAGGGCGCCAAGAAGTGGTTAGACGCGTATGTGCCGAACTAGGTGGGGACTGGAAGGAAGTCATCGCCGCCTGGGGCGTGTTCGTGGACCCCCGCCTCAGGAGACGTCGCCTACAGTCAGTCACGACTTTCGCGAGTCCTATGCAACGATCTAGCTGACATAGCTTACAGAGAGTTAGCTGCTATGATATTCGAGGAATTTCCACCAGACCCGACGAACCACGAAGATATGATACACGCCTCTCTGTTCTCTGGGAACCTAGAGGAGGCGCTGGAGTATGCCTCTCAGCTGGATACTTGGCTCGCAGCACACCTGGCTGACACCATGAAGATCGTCAGCATCCTTGATTCCGTGGTTGATGAGTATGTTCGCACTATTGCAACGCGAAAGCAGCTGATCATCCAATTCTAGTAACGATCTCTCCATACGTGATCGATATGTGTTGCAATACGCCGAATATCTTCGATCTGACGCTGCGCTATGGCGACTCACGCCCTCCTATTTTTGTTCTTGCGGGGAAATCGGGAAAGAAAGAGCGGATCAAGTTCTGCTGCGCGTACCACTGAAACCTGGGCGAAGTGGTCTTGAGGAACCCGGTCTGCACAAAAACGCGCCAGAACGAGAAAGATCACTCGGCGACACTTTGCGAGAGATAACAGAAATCTGCCACTTGTATAAACGAGAAGCGGTTCGGAGAACTATTTGTCGCGTGAGTCCATCGCTGCTTGCTTTCCTTGACTTAGCTTATATTCGCCTAGATTGGGGCGCAATTACTCGTACAACAAAAACAGTTCGCCGAGGCAATCTCATTTGCGGCATCTGGAGAGGATTGGCCTGGTCTTGGTCGGATTGTTGATCAGATCTTGCAAGAATATATCGATCATGGTGTGTTCACCAATCCCCTCCATACAGTCAATTGCTGATTGCGAACACAGGACCTGTTGTATTCGCTCGATTAGTCGGCAAGACCATACCCTTTCTCGAGCCTCTAGACATGAATGGTAAAGGGCGTGTCATCTTCATCCGTCGCCTTGAATTTGCAAATCGATATGCCGAATTTCATCAACGCCGATTGAGCGGCGATGTTACCGGAGCCGCCTTGGACCTCATCGCGATGTTTGAACAGGACGTCGTTCCCAATTCGTGGTGGGCCGTTGTTCTATGTGACTCCATTGAGCTCTTACAGCATGGTGAGTCCTTCCAACGACGTCGTACACCATCCGAAGTATGGACAAGATTACCTTTATAGGAACGCTCCCGTTCTCATCCTGGGAGGCATGCCTCCTGATGCGGAAATTGGAAGAGATCTACCTTCGAACATCTCAAGGATCCGGCGACGATTATCTACCGATCATCACGCGTATAAAAGCTGGAGGAGAAAAGGAAGCGCTTCGCCAACTCCAGTTCGTGCGGCTTGCACTTACCCAGTACTACGCACGATGTGCGGTGCTTGGAGTCGGCGGAAAAGATAGTTATTCGGTGCCACGGATTGTCGTTTGATGTAGAGGGTGCGGACGCTGGGTCAACATAACTACCGTCAACGGCGTAGTACGTGCCTGAATGCGTTAATAATTGTCAGATGCTCTGGACGTGATCTGGCCGAATCAAATTAAACGCGCTCGGTCAAATTGAGATCGTCATGTCTCGATGTCCTCAGAAGAACTCATAGACCTGATGTTGCCGCTGGATACCATGTACTCGAGGTGGCTAATCGTTCACTTCGAAAATGTGGCTCTTGAATTCCGTACGGCGGGACGTGCGGAGCCCTGTGGCGGCGGAGAACCAGAGGCGCCCACGCGGATTGTGGCTCACGCGCCGTTGCCCGGAGCATTCCCTAGGCAGGGCTACTTTACGTTCTCCATTCACGATGTCTGATCATGGCTATGGACCGCCCTCCGCTGACCATCCTTCTGGCTGGGATAGTGCCTCGTGGAACACGCACGACGTCTCTGATGCAGCCGCTTCCGTCGACGGCAACCTGTACCCTGGCCGGTCGCCGCAACCACAGTCATTACAACACGAGCATCCGCCCTCGGCATCGCCTCCACGGTCGAGCGCAGACTCTCCTGGTCGGCCTTCAGGCTCTTCGCGCTGGAGAGAAAGTTTTCTTGAACGGCGGGACACTGTGAGCAGCACGACGGGCTACAGCGAAGTCCAGAGTGTGGTCGAGCCGAATCCCGATGAGAATGTGCTGCGCGCTTTATGCGACTTGGATGTGAGCCCATCGTACCCGGTGTAGCGTGTTAATTGACTCTCCCTCAGTGTGGGGTGCCCTTACTTCTCGATCGGATAAAGCAGAGCATCATATCTTGTCGGGTGAGTTCATCTACCCGACGCTATTCGTAACCAGGTGATGAGAAGGAACGATGTCAGGAAGCGTCTGTATTCTTCAAGAAGAGAGCTGCCTTGGAGGAGGAATACGGACGGAATATGTTAAAGCTCTCACGAACAACTGCAGATACCTATGCCATGAATGACGGCAAGGCTGGGTGAGCTCAGTTTCGCCTACCATCGCGCTGCATTACTAACATACCGATTGACAGCACATTCGTGACCGCATGGCAAGGCACCATGCGCATCCATGAGACCATGGCCGAGAACAAGATTCGATTCGCCCAACGCTTAAACGAAATGAGCGAGGAGCTGGCTAATCTCGCGAAAGAAGTTGACAAGAATCGGAAGACGGTAACGCCTCGCGAAAAGTATTTCCCTCTGTAATGCTCATAATATCACTAGAGCAAAGAGCTGGCCAACCGTTATGAAAGGGCGTTACAAGAGTCGGAACAAGCAACCGAGAAGAGCAAGTCCCGATTCGATATGACGGCTGAGGAACTCGAAAGGGTATTACTGGCAAAAGAGGGCGAGTCGAGCGCGGGAGGATTGCAGGCCAAATCACCTGGTGGCGCTTCTGGAAAGCGGGTCCTCGGGAAGGCTATGAAAGGCGGGGGACTATTGCTGAAGGGCAAAAATCCCGGGAATGTAATCCCGTGATACCACCTTACCATCATCTCGTATCTGACCATAGCCGTTTTAGATTGCCCGACAAGAGGATGATGTACGCTCTCGGATGTCCGCCGCTTCGGACGTATATCGCAAGGCAGTCACAGATACACAGACGATACGCCAAGAGTACTTCAATTTCCAGTTACCTCGAATATTACGAGTCAGTTCGTGCTGAATCCTGGTAGTTCGCAACTTGTTCACATATACAATCATAGGCGCTTAAGGAGTGTGCAGATGAAATCGACTTGGGCTTGCAGTACCACCTCACCCGTTATGCCTATCTGTTCGAGAGCATCGTCCTCACTGATGGGCAAACACTCTCCCCTACTTCTGTAGACGAAGGCAGCGGACAGGGCTTGAAAGCGATAATCGATGCAATCGATAATCGAGGCGACTTCAGAGTCTACATGCAGAATTACGCGTACGCTCATGGTGGAGTAGTGAGAGGTCCAAGAAGGGAAGGTCCCCCGGAAGCTGGTTTCGTGAGCTGTTGCCGCAGGATTGCTACTGAGTTCCCTTAACTGACATAATATCTGTTGCATCGCAGTTACCTCCAATACCCGCACACCTCGACCGTGTTCATGCGTACCCTAGTGCCAACGGACAGAACCCGTCAGCGCCCCAGCTTGCCGACAAAGGCCGGCCCACCTTCGGCGTCGACCTGGCGGAGCAAATGACGCGCGATAATGTTGATGTACCGCAGATCATGACCAAATGCTGCGAGGCAATCGAAAAGTACGGCCTTGAATTCCAGGGAATATATAGGATCGGCGGTACAACAAACAAGATCGCGAAGTTGAAGGAAAAACTGGATAAAGGTCAGCGTCGATACAGACTTCTCGTTTCTTCCTGGGTACTGAAACGCCATAAGATATTAACTCCGTGGATTTGGACGCGGAAGAATGGTCTTCCGATATCACGAATGTCACTAGTGTACTGAAACTTTGGCTACGCGAATTGCCGGACCCATTGTTGACGTCCGGCCTCCACCAAGGCTTCGTAGAGGCAGCTAGTAAGTGATGATTACCCCAAGTTGATGCATGGACTTGATCCTTAGTTGAAATCGCGCAGAGATCGAGAACGATCGACTACGACAGATCCGTTTGCATGAACGAGTAAACGACTTGCCCGATCCAAATTACGCCACGCTCAAGTACCTCATGGGCCACCTGCACAAGTACGTATCCAAGAACATGTCCGGAGGCTTGAATGTGACTTGCTCCCTCATTAGAGTTTCGCAGTCCGAAGCCCAAAATTCTATGTCTATTCAAAACATAGCCATCGTTTTCGGACCGACACTATTTGGCGCCATGCCCGTGCTACCAGTGGACGGGCAGATGAATGCAGGAAATGGACTGGCGGATGCCCCTCTGCAGAACAAGGTCAGTTTTGCACCTAAAGAGGATGATGAAAGTTGACCATTGTGTATACCTAGGCTATTGAAACCATCCTGGAACACTACAACGACATATTTGTCGATGAATCTGAAGTGGCTTAATCGTTGGGTGTCTCCGACGTCTTTCTCTGGGCTGGAGACTATATGCAATACCGAGCTACCGACAAGTTTCGGGTCACGGATTGGTCGCCGACATATATTTTATACGGCACTCATGCTATAACTTCAGATTATATTTATCCATTGCCTTATGTGTCATCTCTCCGCATAGTTGTTGTAATCACCTCACGGCAATCTCAATGTGCAACCTATTCTGTAAACTTCACATATACTGTGGGCAAACGACTGGAGCTGATTTTTCCAGTAAAGCATATCCATATCATATTGCAATGGTGATGTGGCAGAAGAAGTAAGATAATAAGTTACGTGACAAAGGATGAAGAAAGCAGGCGATCATGCGCCGAAGCCGTACAAGGTACGACCGGAACGCTTGAGAGCGTAAACAACGTCAAGCGCGGTGACGGTTTTCCGCTTCGCGTGTTCAGTGTAGGTGACAGAGTCACGGATGACCTGCGAGCCAAGTCAGCCAAAGGGAACTCGGCGACGCTCCACAATGCGCGACTCACGTTTTCAAGGAAGATCTTGAGCACGCCTCGGGTCTCCTCGTAGATCAAACCCGAGATACGCTTCACACCCCCTCTACGAGCCAGGCGACGGATGGCGGGTTTGGTGATACCTGCGTCGTCGTCGGGTCAGCACCCCATCGCGCCCCGATTAGGCCGGTGCCTGGAGCGACTTACCCTGGATGTTGTCGCGAAGAATCTTACGGTGACGCTTGGCGCCGCCCTTTCCGAGTCCCTTTCCGCCCTTTCCGCGACCAGACATTGCGAAGAAGTTGTGATGTGTGGGTGGTGGTGGTGGTGGTGGTGGTGGTGAGGTGCGGTGGCGAAGCG